TCCATAAACAGAAGAAAATAATCCTGAAACTCTACAGTCTGGTCTCCTTTCGCTCGAGGTCACGTTAAGCCCCGCCCAGTTAGTTACACTAGTTACACTCCCCCTGTCCACACACAACATTTCCGTGATTAGGCGTGATTCTTTATTGAGTTTCAGTTCGAAACGATGCCCAAACCTGCGTTTCGTTAGACTAGTTTCGTTATACGACGTATCGTTAGTGAGCGTCCACACACACAATTTCATCGTAAAACTATCGCGAAACGGTATCACTATCGCGAAACGGTATAGCTAATCACGGAAAATGTTGTGTGTGGACAGGGGGTATGATGTACTGCCCTTATGGCTCTTCGAAGAGAAAACCATTGACAACCAAACATTATCTCTTTCTCTCCTATCTCACTGATCTGAGGGCATTTGCACTTCCATTAGTGTCATTTTCATATATTTTTCTTAACCAATGTAAAAATCACGAATTGCATAGATCGAAAGACAAATATAGATGGATGCAAAGGTATGATCTTAAAGACTCATGGGTGTCATATATGCAAACCATTCCCAATCAAATGATATTAAAGGAATCAAATGATAGAGCCTTTGTTTATTAAAGTTGTAAATGCAGGGTAATGCGAGTAGTGCGACTTGCAGTTGTCCCTATGTTAGATCTAACAACGCTATTAGTGTGATGATTAGAATGTTTAGTCACCATGACGGCCATTACTCTACTTTAATGCCATCTAATTACAACTTTCACTGGAACCAATTTAAAGTCAAGTGGAAATGTGGACTATGATCATGATGATCTGGGTTAATATTTCCTGGTGGATTTCGGAAAATTGCTAGCATTTTCCTTAGGCAAAGCAAAACAAGGCCCATTAATATGATAATTGCATTTTGACAGTGAGTTTTGTCTATTTACCCTTGTCTTTTCTTGTCTTTTATAAGACCAAAGTCTGTTTTTTAGCATTTTTTTTTTTTAGAAGGGGGATTTGTATGCTGTTTAATAGACCTGATGGCGGAGTTTAAAAAGAGAAAGCTACAGAGTGTATCACACTCTGTAGTGTAATTGACATATAAATATGTTCATGTATCATTTGATCTATCATTTTCTTTGGCAACATTTGCTTCAGGCTTTTTTCATCGAAGGTTTAGGGATAGAGTTACAACATGGGTTTTAGTTGAGATATAGAGGTAGGGTTAGGTAGATAGTGTTCGACTGGGATGAAGAAACAAATTCTGCTAATGTAGGAAATAGATTATAAAACAGAAGGTTCTTGAGCGTGCATGTGTTGTTTGACCATGTTCTTGCATTAGTTTCTGCTCAAGTATGAATAATAAACACAAATTTTCATTCAAAGTTCTACTGTATTACTTAGCTCTACGTGGAGCATGGAAAGGTTAGGCAGATATCTCTGTTGTTGTGCTAAACTTCCAACTCCCACTATTTTTGTCCCCCATACTTTCATGCTTTCATTTTCGTTTTAAAGCCTGCCCATCAATCTTCCTGGTATTTTTGTAGATAAGATTTGTTCCCTTTCATTTCTCCCATCTTTTCTATTCTATTCTAAGTCTATAAAGAAGAAATCTCATGTCATAGCCCCACCGAGACGCCAATGTAAACATCATAAAACAAACTTCTTGAACTTGTCATGTTGGTAGCAAAGACTTGGGTTTAATAGCCTGTTTAGACGAAAGAAAATCGTATTAAACTTGTATAAAGAACGTCTTATAAACACGTCTTATAAACAATCGTTGTATAGTAAAAGGAGTGTACAGACAAGTAAACAATGTCGATAAAGAAACGTCATGTAGAGAAAATAGTTGACATGACAGCTGCCCAATCATTAGTGTGCTCACGATAAGCCCCGCCCAGTTACCCTGATCGTTTTAAATATCAAGTTTTTGTTCAAAATGATGCTCAAGCAAGCGTTTCACTACTCAGTGTTCCATTATATGACGTTTCATTATACGTTTTGTATACAGTGTTCACACTAGAAGAAAAATAATTACTCGTCATAGAGCTATACAATACTGGTATAGCTATACAATGAATTATGGTAATGTGAATGGGGGGAGGGGGTATATAAGACAAACAGCCCTATGAAAGAAGGAATGGGGTTATCCATCTTTGACATGATTTATACGCAGGCCATTAGGTCTTTGATTCTGGAAGGTTATGATTTATTTATCAGCATTACTTTGTCAAGACGGTTGATATATCTGTTGGTTTTTGTGCCAATCATAGATTATGTGGTGATGGTTTCCATTAGCTAGTCACTTTCCTCCCACAAATTTTCCAATTGTTGATTTTTGTTTTTTTACCTCGGTCTATTCCAATGAACCCTGATTCATAAGTTTCTCTTTGTTTCTTTTCCTTTTTTGTAGGGGAATGTTTATTTTAACAGGAAAAATTATCTCATAGATAAAAATGTATTCAAGTAGAGAGGGGTTTTCACTATTTGTTTATGTCTTTTGCTGTAGACCTCTTAGTCCAATGTTAGGTCAGCTCTATGTTGTATTTCAAAAGTTGTTTAGATGTAAAATACTTAAACAAATCAATTGAAAGGGCTATATGGAAATTCAATAGTACTGGTATTTTATTATCATGTTTAATAGAGCATAGAGCAATACTATTTGCATCTCATGTAGATATAAAGAAATGTTTTCATCCTAAAGCATCGCAGGGAGCAGGGATTACTTCTCTCTCTCTCTCTCTCTCTCTCTCTCTCTCTCTCTCTCTCTCTCTCTCTCTCTCTCTCTCTCTTTCTCTCTCTCTCTATCTTTCTCTCTCTCTCTCTCTCTCTTTCTCTTTCTCTTTCTCTTTCTCTCTCTCTCTCTCTCTTTCTCTTTCTCTCTCTCTCTCTCTCTCTCTCTCTCTCTCTCTCTCTCTCTCTCTCTCTCTCTCTCTCGCCCTCCCTCTCATTATTTTTCTTTAAAACACAAAAAATGCTAACTGACAAGAGCTTCAACTAGTGCTTGCAAATATGTCATCAGTTTCTTTCTCCCAATCCTGATTGATTTCATAATATATCTCCAAAGCTGTTGAAAAACAGCAAACCAAGACTTGTCTGAATCATACCGTACATACTCCAAGAAATTGTTTGTGCTGTCACGCCAGAATTAAGACGGGTTTACGTGAGGTCGTAGAATCTTCAGGCATCCTTGGATGTGAACTTGTGGCTGACTCCTCCGCCGTCATCGTCTCCTTCTCCGTGAACATGGCAGTCAACAGTTTCTCGTCCCCCGAGTTCCAATTATCCTCATTAAACGGAGAAATGTTTCTGGGAGCTTTGCCTGTGATTGACACTCCGTATACAAAGGTCGTATCTGGTGATCGAGATGCCCGGATAAGATTTCATCTTTCTTAAACTTATCAAAATATGACCGAATGTCCCCGGTTTCTATAAGGCTTGGCATTTTAACCCAGCACAAGGAAAAATTCCATTGTATTGTCACATAGAGCCAGTGGTGATGTGTGAAATCAGTCTAACTCCCCCTCATGACAGATAATTCATCTTCATCTTCGTCACTCCAGATTTGTCTGACCTTGAGTCATAAATAAAGATGATTTATTTTGTTTTTTGATAAATCTGCCAATTTTACGTTTCAAAATTGTACTATTTCCATCAATAACCCTCATCTGTCTGTTTTCTCTTTTACATCGTCTTGAAAATTGAATATTTTTCTCTCACGTTGTCTGGAAAAACCAAGCGTTTGTCTTTCATTTTGTCTTGATATAGTCAGATTGCACTATTAGAAGCTCTAGCCAATTAAATCTATGCTTGTTCTGACACTAATTGGAAAATGTGAAGTAAGGATGAAAGTAGAAAACAAAGTACGATATACACAGTATCCTCTCTCTGTATGTTTGTTTTATATTCTCTTTGCAGCCCACAAATGGTATAGTAGTGAGTTAGATTATTGGAAATTTGGAATCTGTATTTTTGCACTGCAGCCTGGCTGAGAAAGTATAACATCTGTGAAAAGAAACGATTAGGAGTTCAAAATTATTGTAAACACTTCCAAACAGGAAATGATCATTCTAAAACATTTGGTAATACCATTAATTTTTTTTAATACCTTATGAATATATGAAATGATATGGAGAATTTCACACATTGAGTATTTCTGAAGGTTGATTGCATTAACATTCCTTTCCTTACTGCAATTTTGCAAAAATCTAGCTTAACTTATTGGAGTTTGCTCTCAAAGTTCCAGAGGGACCCTTTTCCCCTCTATTCTACTTTATCTTAGGATTCTTTCATTGAAAGAAAACAAAACTTATGATTTTTCAAAAGAGAAATATTCTAGTTTCAATCCGGTTTTCTTCTGTATTACTGTCAATAGAAAATAAGAACAATTCTTTTTTCTTACATTTCCTTTTTTAAAACCATCTCAGATCTAACCTTCTCTCTCAGTGTATTAATAAACTCAGATACATTTAGGTTGATTTCTAACTCCTTTGTGGGTTTAGCGGTTGATTAAATCATCTTGAACTTGCTCTTTTCCTGCTGTGTTATTGATGTCTACATCTGTTATACACATTTCCTTTTTTTTCTTTCTTGGACCACAATGCACCACATGTGACTGCTAATGGCCATGTGGTTCACTGTACGAGAGCATGGAGTCAGGGTCCAAGACCCCGGGGAGGCTAGACCACGGTTTCCTCCCAGATGGGCAGAAAATAATTACCAAACACAATCACAGAGACTTTCCGAAAATCAACTTTTATCTTTAATTTCTGGGTATACTCCTGCCTGTATAGGCCTGGATTGGCCTGGATTAAGGAGTACCGAGTTCTTATACATGTACGGTATATCAACTCCCTTTCTACATCTGTTATATTCAACAGTGTTGTCCTTCAATAAAGTATTGTTGTATATCATTCATCATAACTGGACTTATGAGAGCTATCAAACATCATATTTTTAAGAGTATTACATTATCTTAAAAGTCATGATTAATCACTTATTTCCTTCTTTTTCTCTCTTGTTTTTATCCAGATATCTGGCAGCAAGACACAGAATGGCCAGGCCATTGGTGCTGCCCCAATGCTATCTCAGGACATTGCCGTGTTGCTTGTTCACAGGTAAGCTTATGACAATAATACAATTATAATACACATTTACCAAGCGCAGATCGACACTGTGCAAATATATCCTATTGCACTGCAAGAGCTCCTGATGTGCTTATATCTACAACATAAAGTTACATGAAAAGATGTGCTTTTAGCTTTTATTGAAAAGTACTTTTGATAAATCAAGTTGAGCAATTTCAATAGCCCATTATAGTATTGTATAGCCGACTCCCTATTTTCTCCTGGGTATGGAGTGGCAAATGCAGATGAAACTGTCCCACCATACATGAGTGCCATTGAAAGAATTTATAAACCTGGAGCAATGAATGATCCATTATTTTGGTGCCATTTTATATCCACCACGTTATGGTATGATAATACGTACAAGAGAGCGGGCTAATGATTGATTGTTTAATTTCCCTGCCACTTATTTCTTATGTCAGCCTATTCAAAATCTACAACCATAGTCTGCAGCACCCTTATGTTCATACTCTGTTTTTTTTTTTTTGGGGGGGGGGGGGGGGGGTTGGTTATATTAATAATAATAATAATAGGCATTTGTATATAGCGCCGTCTATCTAGACAATCCTATTCCGAGAGCACAAGGAAAATAGAAAGAATGAGAAAGTTTGGATGAGTGTCATAGTGCCAAGTACAGGTATTGTTAAAAAAGATAAGATTTCAGCTTGGATTTAAAGGTCTCTAAGGAAGTTATAATTCTCAAATTAAATGGTAAATTATTCCAAAGACAAGGTGCTGCAGATGAAAAAGCCCTTTCACCACAGGCTACTCGTGTCTTTGTGAAGTAACTTTAAGGTCTTACAAGTCAATGCCTTCCACGTTTGAAGTAAGATATCTGTCCTAATCCAACACTTGTTTTTCTAAACAAGTCTGTACTATATAATGTTTTTAAAAAGATTCAACTCTGCCGTAGTTCAAACTTAGTATCCCAAGACTTGCATAGATGTAAATCATTGGTCATAAATACATCAAGAATACTGTTCACCGTATTCGGCAACATCTATTCCTTTTACTTCCCAAGTTTCCAGTTCTTCTCCCTGTATGTAAATCACAAATTTATCACCCATGCTAGAAATAGGTACTTTTTCTTTTTCTCTTGGAAAAACCAAAGCTGTGTTTACACGGCACTGTCCTAGTTATTAACTTTAAGCTTGTGAAACCTCAAAGTTATAATCAACGATTCACTAACAGAGAGAAAGGTTCACACTGGACCGAAACTTTGTATATTTGAAGTTTTAAACTACAAGGGGGAGCATTCATCTGAATGACAAGCTGGCGTAACCTTGAAGTTAACTCTGGGCCGCACTACACTTAACTTCAAGTGAGGACCCCTCCCCCCCCCCCCTTTCCATTACTTGTACTTAAAGCGCTAAATATCAGATCACTTGTAGTTTGTAGTAGTTTATAACACTTGGAGACTTCGGTTGTTAGCGCTTTATAAGCATCGTTTTTATTATTATTATTATTATTTGTAACTTCAGGTAAAGTTAAACATTAATCACCGCAAGTGCGTCCCCATGGTCCCTAATTACAAGATTACTAAACCGCAACCTAAACTTCAAGTTAACGGAACGTCGGTCGGTCGTGTGAACCTAACTAGCGAGATGTTTTTCATCAAAGATTTATGTAGATGGTCAGAAATCCGATCGCTCTCTATTGTGTTCTTGAACCCAGCCATCGGGTTCAAACTTGGGAGATTTGAAGAAAATGACATTCCCCGAACGGCACTTGATTAGAAACATCTGTGTTGAGGTTTGTGTGCTGTCATAAATTTGTTGACAATTTTCAGGTTTTATATATACATTTTTGAAGTAATCTGTGTTTGAACAGTGTTGTTTCCTCTCATTTACACTCAACGAGAAGAAGTGGAACCAGAGAAAAATGAAGTCAGTTCGTTTTCCTACGACTGGAGCTGAATCTGTTCATAACGTTTATTGTGAAAGTGGAACTGCTACCAAAAAATAACTGAATCACAATCGACATAACACCAATAATTTGCCATTTGTGATGTATCTTGCTGTGAAAACTGCCATTCTTAAATCACCAAACTTTGTGGTCTGACAGCATGTCTTTGTAAGGTTCTGGCAACGATATGGAAAACAGAAATGTATAGATTACTGGGTAAGCTAAATATAATAGGAATGTTAAATAATACAAATATGTGATATCTCTCCAACAACTTTGGTAGGAGATTAATCATAACTTTATAATTAGCATAGAAAAATAAGAAAATGAAGCTTAAGTCGTCCTGACCATGTGCCCACTGATAGGGTCTGGTGGTTTGTTTTCATTTTGCTGACCCAGTACACCAAACACTGCATGATTAACAATCAATTTAAGCTTGTTTTTCTCAAGAATTGAGATCAATTTTAACATATTGTTCTTCATCAAGACAAATCAGTGCCAGCAGAGAGTTGAAAAATGATCAATGAGTGTTTGAAAAAAGGACTGATCACCCCGGTGGAAGTTTTCTCACCGTCTACCTAGAGACAGCTAGCTAATCTCCCACAATCGTTCGATTGCGCTTTGGTTTGGCGCGCCTGTGGCGCAAGCAAAAGACATCGCCCTATTTCCTCTGCTCCGTCTTTGTCATCGGTAAATCCTCGGCAGCTTCTTCCCGTCATCGTCAGGCTCAAGGAGAGGGAGGAGGCTTCCTTCAATCCCCGTCTCTTTCCTCCAATCTCTGTTTCTCTCTACTCCAAGCTGCCGTCTCTTTCCTACAGTCTCCATCTCTTTCCTCCAATCTCCGTCTCTTTCCTCCATTTTCAGTCTCTTTCCTCCAATCTCCATCTCTTTCCTCCAATCTCAGTCTCTTTCCTCCAATCTCCCTCTCTTTCCTCCAATCTCTGTCTCTCTCCTCTAAGCTGCGTCTCTTTTCTCCAATCTCCGTCTCTTTCCTCCAATCTCCATCTCTTTCCTCCAATCTCCATCTCTTTCCTCCAATCTCTGTCTCTTTCCTCCAATCTCCGTCTCTTTCCTCCAATCTCCGTCTCTCTCTCTTTCCTCCAATCTCTGTCTCTTTCCTCCAATCTCTGTCTCTTTCCTCCAATCTCTGTCTCTTTCCTCCAATCTCTGTCTCTTTCCTCCAATCTCTGTCTCTTTCCTCCAATCTCCGTCTCTTTCCTCCAATCTCCGTCTCTCTCTCTTTCCTCCAATCTCTGTTTCTTTCCTCCAATCTCTGTCTCTTTCCTCCAATCTCTGTCTCTTTCCTCCAATCTCTGTCTCTTTCCTCCAATCTCTGTCTCTTTCCTCCAATCTCTGTCTCTTTCCTCCAATCTCTGTCTCTTTCCTCCAATCTCCATCTCTTTCCTCCAATCTCTGTCTCTTTCCTCCAATCTCCGTCTCTTTCCTCCAATCTCCGTCTCTCTCTCTTTCCTCCAATCTCTGTTTCTTTCCTCCAATCTCTGTCTCTTTCCTCCAATCTCTGTCTCTTTCCTCCAATCTCTGTCTCTTTCCTCCAATCTCTGTCTCTTTCCACCAATCTCCGTCTCTCTTTCCTCCAATCTCCATCTCTCTCCTCCAATCTCCATCTCTTTCCTCCAATCTCCGTCTCTCTCCTCCAAGCTGCCGTCTCTTTCCTACAGTCTCTGTCTCTTTTCTCCAATCTCCGTCTCTTTCCTCCAATCTCCGTCTCTTTCCTCCAATCTCTGTCTCTTTCTTCCAATCTCCGTCTCTCTCCAATCTCCGTCTCTCTTTCCTCCAATCTCCGTCTCTCTCTCCTCCAAGCTGCTGCCCTCTCTTTCCTGCGTTCCATTCTCTCTCCCATCGGGAGCCTAATTGAATGTGACGCGTTGCTCAAGATAGTCGGCTCAATTAGTCAATTAAAGTCGCAGGTGTTTCGGCGGAGATGCCCATGTTCTGCCCCTAATGTGAATTGAGCATGAGTGGAAGAGACGAAGAACTTAAAAGGTAGAACTTTAGAGCGCTCCTGAAGCATTATCTGAACAAGCACAAAAAACACTGTCTGTTTTGGCAAGGTAAATCTTTGCTTTATAGTTTCATTACAATTTATAAGGACAAAAGAAAACTAAGAAGTTTGGAGTGCCAACAGCTAGCATGTGTGTGCCATGAAAGATATCCAACTTTTATCCCTCCATTTTGGTGATATTGTATCGAATTTTCATCTATCATCCAGTTCTTTATTTCAATGTCATTTAACAGAAAGCTTGAGGAGTTAGGTTACACCTGTAGTGCAAAGGGTAAATTAGGTTTCTCTGTGCTTAGATTGAAATTGGAATGTCTGTTTCTGAACTATGTCTGTTCCTTTGCTTAGATTAAAGACAGAGCAAATTTAAGTGCATTTAATTAATTAGAGACCATATGTAATTATTTCCATCGCAATTTAGCTTTGAATCGTATTTTAAACTGGTCTTCAAACCTGTATGTTTTAAAGTTATATCCAGAGATGAAAAAGACAAATAGCTAGAGATATAGAACTGGAGATAATGTAGAGACAGACAGACAAATAATTATGTATATATAGAGATAAATATGGAGAGTATACAGATGGACAGACAGACAGACAGACAGAAAGACAGGTAGACAGACAGACAGATACAGAGATTAATGTTTTGACATTGATGGAATAGGTAATGTTTGAACTGATCTCTGTGTGTACTTTTCCATCTCTGATTACATTGGTTTTCTGCCAGACAAATGGATCATCATTATCTTCATCATGGTCAATCTCAGCTCAGCTCTCTGTCTCTCTGCCTCTGCCTCTGTCTCTTTCTTTCTTTCTGTCTTTCTGTCTTTCTCATTCTCTCTCTCTCCCCTCTCTCTTTCTCTTTCTCCTCTTCCCCTCTCTTTCTCTCTTTCTTTGTCTTTCTCTCCCTCTCTCTCTCTCTCTTTTTCTCTATTTCTCCTCACCCACTTTCCTCCCACTCTATTTCATTGTTCATATATCTATCTATCTATCTATCTATCTGTCTATGTCTGTCTATATCTCTCTCTTTCTCTTTCTTTTTCTTTCTATCTGTTTTGTTTCTTTA